CCACCGTCTATATACCTTTAGATCAGGGTTGTATACCAATCAAGTCGATTGAATTGATTGATTTGTTTCAACGCGTATTTTGAGTTGATTGGATTGAGTCGATTGACTTTTCGAGATGACTGGTTGACTGACTCGTTTGACTTTAGCGACTGGTTGACTGATTTGATTCCCGAAAATTAGAGTGACTCGTATGATTGAGTCGATTGAATGGAAAGTTCAATTAAGTTTTAGTTGACGAAAAATAATGACACCAATTGATGACATCAAAGATCACAAAACTACACTGAAAACAGCTTGTCATCACAACTGCAATATGGGGTAGATGGCCAAATAAAGAACAGAGCCTAAACATGAAGAGCCAACTTTGACTTTCAACTGCAATAACTGCTTCAATCCTGGTGATAGAGCCTGGCGATGCACCTACCTACCTTTCTGCACTCAGCAGGAAACGTTTTTTTTTAATCCAGATGATAAAGTGCAAGGCCCTATATACTAATAAAGTGTATAAATTAATAATTCACATCTCCACAGAAACAACCCACTGAACTTTATAAATATCTGAAACCCCTACAAAAATAACTGAAACAAAAGCGCCGTTTTCGTCTCGCTAATTACGTCGTACCTAATCAATAGCTAATTTACTGCATTGTTTTATTTGCAACAGAACGTTTGTTGATCCTTTTCTCCTGAGAGCCTAAGCATAACATATTTAATGTATTTCATTTTCCTTAAAATATTTTACCGAATATTATTAAGTGGTTTTATTTCAAATGAAATAATAATTAAAACGAAATTGGTGTTGTACAACCGATTTATTTTATGATGATCTACCATACTACATCATAATCAATGACGTCATCTTACCAAAAAATCAAAAGACGTAGAATAAGGATTTATAAAAGCTTAGCAAACTTATTGGCAAAACATCCTGTGGTTCCAGAGTCCCTGTCCTCTCCATTTCCTTTAAATATATTTTTAATCCTCATCCCTATCCCCCAGTCCTAACAGTTTCAAATTGTATTGCAATAAAATGTTTTGAATTCTTCACATAGGTACCTAACATTGACATGCCACGTCCAGAGTCGTGGACCGCTAAATACTTCAAATCTCTTCCTTCCCAATCTGACAAGATCCCACGTCTCAAATGCACATTGTGTGGAAAGATTTTTCAGGCTGCCCGTCAGTCTCTGTCTAACCGAAACCGTCACATGCAGGTAAGGTATTTATTTCTATTTCCCTATGGTTAATATGTTATTGATGCATATTATCCATTAAAATAGACATAGTGTAGCGTAAATGGCCAAATCACGAACACTGTCAAAATCCGAGCAGCCAACTTTCAACTGCAATATCTGATATTTAGTGTAAATGGAGTTGGAATATGCCCAAAATTAAATTGACAACTCTTAGGTGAAAGGTGGTGATTTGGGTTAAGGGGCGAGTCAACTACTGGGTTATTTTGCACCCATTAAATGAAACTTCTACTCCAATTCTACCCATTGAACCTCAATATCATGATCCACCTGTCCATCACTAGGTATCCTTCCTTATTACATAGAAACTTTTAATGGCATGGCAATTTATAATTTTAAATGACAATATGTTTATGTTTCTTTTGTAGGTAGGTAGGTAAGTACACCAGACTGCTATGGACACTTTTCCAAGTTGGTGGGGCAAAAAACCTAATGTATGTCTTGGTTTGAGTTGTTTGATTGAGTTGATTGATTCCTTTCATTGTCGCGTTTGAGTCGATTGAATCAATTCCCGAAAACTACTCTGACTTGATTGATTTGATTGGTTTCCCAAATTTGTCGTGATTGAATTGATTGCTATTGATTGAGTCGTATACAACCCTGCTTTAGATGCATCGTCCAACCTGCCCTGTTTGCAGCCTGGGTGTATCTCTGGGCGGCGGCTATGTATCGGCCGTGCGGTGGCCATGTATCGCCCAACCGTGTCGTGCGGTGGATAGGTATATGTATCGCCCTAACGGCAGTGTCTGTTGGTGACAGCGCACGCGGTGCAGGGCGGTCGATCGCTCATCTGGGCCAGCCACCGAGCCAGGTCCAATATGCGGAAGGCCTGTGCGTGCCGATGGATATGCGTATGTATATCCAGCGGCCGCGGCACAGCCCCAACACGCTCTGTTATTGGAACACTGGGCGAGATTGCTCGCCACAGCACCCACTCAACGTAGAAAATTGCCCCATATACCTGAGCGTTGTGGGCTGCGCCAGATACGCCATAAGACGCCGGGTTGATCACAGCACCAGCCGGGCGGGATATATGACATCGTCACCGGGAATAGGTAGGAGTGCCTGGAGCAGCATCTGATGACCCAGGCGGGAGGGTCACTGGAATATCTCCAGAACTGAGCCATGAGGGACTCCAGGACTAGCCCTGGCCGAGATCCCAGGTCACTAGCTGCCCGTTTGTCCGAAGTTCTAATGATTCCTCAACGGTCTGAACTCTGAAGAAGTCGTGATAAATGTAACTTCCTGACTTTGGGGCGCCCACCACCAGTAGGCGTGTCATCCAATCCCTTCCCGTCCCAACCTCTCCCCTCCCCCGCTCCTGTCGTTACGAGGCGCCCACAAAAAGCTCCCACAAAAACGCAAAGCGCCTTTAAATTTGTAATTGTCGCTGCCGGGGCGTGGAATGCGGAGCATCGCTGGGAGCTGGGCGTGGGGTGTCGCGCGGCGCGGGGTGCACGGAGGGGTGATTTACACCCGGGCAGGGTGACAGCGGCGCGCTCGCGGTCTTTGTCCCCCCGGGACACCCCGCAGGTGGACCGCTGCGCCGAGGACCCCCCGGTGGACAATTACTGGTCCGGAGCGGGCGGTCAGCTTTGGACCGACACCAGACGACAGACGGCTGAATGCTGACCGGTCCGGGGGCAGACGGGCTTTGTGACCGGACTGGAATTGGCGCGAGTGGAGGTTGGACTGAATGATAGTCAACAGGCCGTCGGCAGGGGTAGAGGAACATCGCCCGCAGCTGGGTTAGCTATACGTTTACAGATACAGCAGGGGAGGGGGAGAGCACATCGTCTATAAATCCCGTACTGAATGTCCACTCTCCAATTCTATTGTCCATATTGACCATATTCCATACACTGACAGTTGTTTTTTGTCTAAGCAATACCTCAAAACTCCGTTCAAAAGAAATTGTTCTGATACATCTGAGTAGGATGCAACGTCGAGTCATCCCATCAATTGGGTATGTGGGCTTGGATATATTGTGAGGAACTGGGCTTACATTTAATGGGCTTGAATTGACATGTGGAAATTGATGGTTGCCGGCCGGTGCAGTGCCTTGTAAAGATCATGAGGGCGAGCGAATCCACATAACAATCAGTTCATGTGCGGAAGATATAGCTGAAACAATTAGTCACAAATATTTCATTGATACAACAAATTAATGAATAATGGTCTCATTTCGTCGCCTATGTGATTGTATAATGGGCCATTAAATTATGCGGTGACGCCTGCTTATCAACAGTTCATAAAACTTGCCCAGATGATTCAACCGGACCATTTCATCATTCTAAGCGGTGGTCTCGTCGTGCATGTCCTCAAATAACCGTCGGCGCACTGCCTCTCCGCTGATGCGGCTGATGCCATTAAACTCTGGGCGCGTCTTTTTCGCCTCACATTATACGCGTGAATCCGCCCCTATCTTGTCACTATATGGAGACACAAATCGGCCCCAGCGCCAGATAATGGAGACACTAAGCCGGCGACGACGTAGGCTCAGCCGCGACCAGAGTTATAGCGCAATCCATTCGCCGGAACGGCCGTGATCATATCAAATCAAATCAGTCCTGGGCCGGGTCGGGCGCGACGGGTCCAGGCCGGCCCGAGGCGAGGGAGAGTCCTTCTCTCCGGCTGCGGGCTCGCGCAGACACGCACAAGCCCCGCCGCCGTCCGGCAGTCCCCCAGGGCCCGGTCGATGGCTTCATTGAAAACAAATTGCAGCTTTGTGGCGGAATGGCTGCCAGAAGGGTTGGGGAGGCTAGTGCCACGTTAGTGTTGTGTTTATAGACGAAAGCAGTGGGACTGATTTGATAGGAATGAACAGAAAAAAGGCGCAGGATGGTCCACTGTCCAGGTATGGGTGTACTGTGCAGACATGCCTGGGCTCCTATGACTTATAAAAGAGAAGCAGTTTTTCATCACTTGACTGTCACCGTCTCACGCTAGAATTAACCACACTGTCGTCGCATATTTCCTTCTCTTCTCATTAATTAATACAAAGACGTGGCAACTTCGAAGTTGATTAAAAGCGGCAGCCCGCGGCCGCCGACCGGCCGTCATCAGGTCTGGAAGAATGACGCAGTACGGGCCGGAGAAGCCGGCACCACCGCCGGAGATAGAAATCCACCCCCAGCGCCAGACGTCGCGCGCGCGTCACCCTGAAAAGCTCTCAGCTTAAAAGTGTTCAAGTGTTTGCCACTTTGTGAAATCATTTTGCCCGTCCGAGAGTCAGAGGAAATTGCATTTGCAGTGATTAAATTTCAAAAGCCGGATATATTTTAGCACGATTAACGTGAAAAAATAAACAATATATTGGTTGACAGGATTCTCAAAGGCGTAGCAATCGTAGCAAATAAAATGAAAGGCCTAGCAATCGTAAGAAATGAAATGCTGATACAAAGACCTCTACATACTATGCAATTCGCCAGAGCCAGTCCAGTCCAGGTATGTTGAGGTCTATGGCTGACATACGCTAATTATAAATTCGGGAACCAATCAACTACCTACATAATCAATGTCAATGTCCACAAAGGTATAAATGAGCAACAGCGTGCCTTGTGTACCGTTTACGGCTTAGCAAATATCATATAGACCTCTTTATGTACAGCTCGGTAACATTCCTGGATCTATGGACATCACACACATGTTTGTAATCGCTTTTCAAGGAAATCGGGACCTGCAATGCATGTCTTTACACGATTGGAAATAAACTGTCCCTGGAAATGTATCAAAGCACATACAGTATCGCATGGATATGTTTATTAATAATCACAGTTCAGCATATAAAATGACACAGGCACTAAAAGCAATCTCATTCAGCTCTTGCCAATCGTATGAAGCACGGTGGTACACGTAGAAACACTATCAAACTGTACAAAGAACATGCAGCAGTTCGGTGCACGTCGAGTTCATTTCACGCCGGTTTCTCAATTGCCCATATTTGCTTGGGCTTCGTCAATCACCATTTCGGCGTTCGTTTCCGCACAAGCTCACGATCCTGTCGTCCCAACGCAGGCCCTCATCCCGATCAGGCCCTCAGTTCTGCTCACGGGGTCACTGGTTCTTGACATGACTCCTGACCCTGACGCGACCCAGACATCGCCTGATGCGACCCAAGGCGTCAGATGTCCCGTGCCCGCCCCAACATCGAGGAGCACATCCCGGTCATCACGAGGCTTTGTCCGTTCACCTCCGGTCAGTTGGGCTCCAGCATCGCTCGTTTAGGCGTCTGGCGGGTTGGCAGGGGCTCGTGAAGTCGCCTGGGGCGCGTCCCATGCAATGACTAGCAGCCTCGGGACTCGTCCCAGTCGTATTGCCCACCGATATATCACAGAAGGATGGCGCCACCTCTGGCCGTGCACGGTTCTCGGCGCGCGAGTCAGCACCGGCGAGGGTCCCCTCCCTAACGGGGCGGGCCCTGGCATCTCGTGACTACGCGCGACCGAATCACGAGCCGTTCTCGTTCCGGTAGCCGAGGTTCTTCCGCTGCAGGAACAGGTGGATCTCGCGGAAGTTTGGCCGGTCCATCGGGTCTCGGCGCCAGCACTCGAGCATCAGGTCGTAGATCTCTCTCGGACAATCGTGCGGCTGGGGCAGGAACACCTGTAACACAAGGGGGAACGAGCTGTCACACATCTGGTGGTATATGGACATGGGGCAATCGGCACATGTCCGGGACTACATGGTAAGGGGAGGAGTTGCCGTACAACTGACGGCGCAACACACAGGTCCATTGTTCACGAGTCACCGGTTTGATCTGTACGAAAAGAACGTAACAGAAGTTACTTCGAATGAGGGAGCTACTACTTTAGCGATATTACTCCATCTGCGGGAGACCCGTGCCACCTGAGCACTGTCAGCGTTCGGAAAACGAGGAATTCATCTTCTGGGCGATTTAATACCGTAAGAGCCTCCCACACCATTCCGTGTGCGTTCACTGAAAACACTTTGGAAGAACGTTAAGAACGTACAGGGGTATTTAGACCCCTGTGGGGTAAAATGTTATGCCACCGTTTTTCAGAACCTCCATGGTTCTTCACGTAGACGGCTTTGCATTCTCATCAAAAGAATCCACACGATTCTTCCAAAGACTCTTATGAGGTTTAGGGTTTATAATAAGAGCGTTCTTAGCACCTAGATAAGAACCCCAAAGGGTCTGTGAAGAAGTCCCTGAGGTTTATAGGCAAACCACCCTGTGTTCTGAATATCGGTTGTAGAACCCTTTCAGTTCTATTGCAATACCGCAAAATCCCCGTTCATTCGTCTATTGAACCTCCCATGCATGGCTATCGACCTGCGCCGTCACATCTGCTGCGCAAACACAGTACTTGATACACCTTAAAATGTATTACCTTCCTCTTTACTCTGAGCAATCAGCCTGCAAGTCTCCAGTCAGGAACAACTAGCCCGCAACCAGCCCATGCGATCAGCCCGCAACCAGCCCGCATTCAGTCTGCGATCAGCCCGCTATCAGCCTGCAGGAACGCTTTCCATTCGGCCGCGTCACTTGCCTTACACATCCAAGCCAAAGAACTCCAGGAGCCAAATATGAACACATTTTTAGCTTTAGCAAGTGGATGTTTTCCCAAACACAGTATGTTTGCGCTATCGCCCATGTCAGCAGCCGGGTGGCGATATCGCATTCTCCCAAATCACATACAGTTTCTCCTTCCACCACCAGCCTCAAGCCAGCGTTTTCGAAGATGTCGACGTCTCCGCGCGGCGCGCGCCAGGACGCTCTCCTCAGACTCCAGGGCCTCAATCAGAGCGGAGATGGCCTCGTCCCCTAGAATGAAGAGTCGGGCGGATGCGTTATTCAACTGACAGGGAGTAAAGAAACTTAGATTGACTTCAGATACCATGAGCCTACTCCAAAAATAAAATAATGCACTTGACATATAAAGTGCAGTATAGATAAAATATTGCACTAATCAGCACGAACATATGTTTATTAAAATCAGCCAAATTTATACCTAAATCAATTGACCCCAAAATGGCAAGCTGATTCTATTCCTGGTTTATCTTCATTTGGAAGATTTGTCTAAATACCACATGCATATTTAAGCTATGGGGCATTTATACAACATATAAATACTTACTGCATTGATTGGTCTTGCATATGAATTGTCTTCATCCAATGCATTCATCCATGCATTTGAAGAGCGTTGTGATATTGCTTATTATGGTCAATCACAAGTAATATAAATAATACACAACACTTGACAAACAAAAAATTAACCTTATTTCAGTTCTTCAATATTTGATTACTTGCCATTCACCCAATCTTGCACCAGCCGCTCGTCACTGCACAAAGCGTGATCCAACGCGATCGAAAAATGGCGATCGCTTCCGGTGGACGCTAGAACGTGGTACCGCGGGCGTGGTCTTGATGAAAGCCATTACACTGATTAAACCACAACCCCTTCTTCTTAAACCCGATGCTAGTTCGTGCAAAACCTTCAAAGGGTTTATCTTTCGCGCGCTTGGTGTGACGTAATATCACGTGACTAGGGAGAACGAAGAAGAACCGGTGTTGGTCGAGTTGAAGCCCCCCTGGGGCCACTAAGATTGCACGCGAAGAAGCAGCACGTGTCTTCGGTCTATGTGAAACACTGTGTGTGTTCTTCATGAACCAGACGTTCTGCTTCGCCTCTAAGCCAGTTTACCCTAATACCCAAAAAACCTAAGTGTGGAATATTTTAAGATGCTTTTGCATAACGTTCTTTCAACTCGTTTTCAGTGTTCATTTCGCCACAGGGCGGTCACGCCACGACGCCACCCGGGCGGCGGCGGCGCCTCGTAAAGTCGCGGACGGCGCTCTTTACAGGCGGTCCGCCGGCCGGCCGAGACGTCTTCGTCCAGCCATCCCGCGCACGGCAAACACCGCCGCCGACCTGGGCAAACAGGCGACGACACGCTCCGGCGGAGGCATTACCGGCTCGGCGCCCGGGAACAAACACGACACACTGCCTCTTCCCCCGTCCGATAGCCGCGCGAGACGAGGTGCCATCCAACAACGGTCTTGAGCGAGGGAGACGGTCTCCGAGGAACGGGCCGCAGACACGCGCGAGGGGAGCCGCCGACCGCAGACAGGGGAGAGGCCGACGCAGCTCCCAGGAGAGTCTCTGCCCTCTCAGGTGGCGATATCGCGCCGACGGGTCAGCTCACATTACGAGGGGTCAGAGCGGCTATCGCCGGCGGCAGGGGTCTCCAGCGCCGGGTCGGTGGGTGTCAGAGGTGTCAGAGGTGTCGGGGGTGTCGTGTGTCATATCTGTAGGACGACAATGGACCAGGTGGGGGCGCTAAGTGCACCGCTGCCCGTGGGAGCTACCGTGGGACGTGCTGAATCTTAGATGAGGCGCGCCAGAACCAATGTGACCTGTCCATTAATCGTCCCCGCGCTGATACGGAAAATATTGACGACAGTCGGCTGACGAGTCTTGTGACAAGATTATCCACAGGGACACCCGGCGATAGCCCTGGATATCGTCCACCTTCCACCAACCGCTGCTAGCCGACACCCTGTATCGTCGGCTACCTGAGCCGGCAGCGCGGCGCTGTTTGGATCGCTGGTAATTCGATACATCAATGGGCCATTACCGGTGGCTGGTGCTAATGACGACAGGGCGATAATTCACAGCCCGTGCCGACACTGCCGACAGCACCGGCCTGCGGGCCTAGCAGGCCAGCGGAATGCATTAGCTGCATGGTGTAACTACTGCGCACGCATGCGGCACTGATGCTTGCCATTGCCATACCAGCGAGTGCCGGAAGCGAAGTGAGAGAAGTTGGATGCCTAAAATCGGAAGCAGAAGGTCCCATCACACGCGGCAAGCTAAAAGTTTCCCATCATGTTGAACCCATATGTGTCATCACTTGATATTTGATGACCACTATTTCAATTAACTGCGACGGCCAAAATCACCTATCCAATTTAACGCATCAGATAGGTATCTATAGTAATAATCCATCTCATGATGTCATCCTCTGCCCGTGACAACACAAAGCCACGGGGATATCTGAAACGGGCAGCTGCAGTACGCGTGCCGGCTTAAAAATGGCAGCCCAATAATGAGATATCACACCGCCAGTTATCCTGGCTCAGGGTCCACTGCCAGAAGATCCGGCCGCGATACGCGTGCGAAGGCCGGCGTCGTGCGAGTCTTCCGCGGCGTCCAACTCATCAAAGAACTCCGTGGAGCGTGAAAACGGAGCTGGATAAGTTTCAAAACACCTCATTCAAACACCCCCGTATAGCGCGTCTTAGCTACCCTGTTGCCATCTGCCCCATACCAGAGGAACCATGGCATGAGCGCACTATCAGCCGTCAGGCTTAAAAACTTCCAAACGCTAAAGCCTAAAGGTAACTCAGAAACAAAGAGCTCTTCTTCATAGGTAAATACATGCATCGTACAAATACGCTGGGTCTAAAGACCTGTCAAATGTGTCGTAACGCGTGCCTCCATTATATATCTGCTGCTCATCATTTGTGAAGAAGCTAACGCACTTCCATTCAGTACATCGCTTCGCCTTTATGCCAACATGCAGCGTTTGTCGCTTTGCGCCGTTTTGGCCTTGGGTGTCCGTGCGTCGCTTTCGTCGCGGTCGATAGACCCGACCGGACCAGACCGGACCGAGGACCGGGGACCGGTGCCGGTGCCGACAGCTCAGTTGGTCTGGTCCCCATGGGACACACTGCCGCCCCGGTACCGACACGGCAAAGGCTCCGCTGGCAGCTGGCGCCATACGAGCCACCGCCAGTCGGGAGGGCCATGAAGGGAGCGGTTAGCTGCAGATCTCGGGGAATGCAGTCACATTTATCCACATTACCTTCCAATATTTATTCCCCGGTGGGAGCTCTGTTGTACAAAATGAATAAAAGCTCTCCAAGAAAAGACTCCCTACACCCACGTCTCTGTTTCTTCTTTCGCATTTGCGAACCTGCAGCCATTGCTACAACTGATTAGGGTTGATCCATATCCGAGAAAAGGCTAGCTGGGGGCAGTGGGGGCAGCCAGTACTTGATAGAGCGTTCAATTTTTATGCAATTTTGTATAAACCTCAAACACATCTAAACGTGTCTGGAACCGAAGTCGCCTACCTTTGTTTTGCCCTCTCGCTCTCTCGATTCCCTTCTGATCCCCAGCCCTCCAGGTGGTAACGATTATCGACCAGTTTTGCGGCCGGCCACAAACCCTCTCGAGCTACCCCACGGGAGGCTAACCCGCCCCGGCGTCTTTATCCCGTTAGTTCTCGGGCCGGGCCGGGCCGAGCGCTAATGCATTGTTCCATCAATGCCGCCGGTATACAAATATCATTAGGCGCGCGCCCCTGTCGTTACCGGCTCCCCGGTCCCGGCGGCGGCCATATCAAATCAGCTGAGGCGCCCCGACGGCCCCGACGCTCCCCTGTCGAGCCGCCGACGGCCCGCGGCCCGTGTCGCCGGACAGAATCTCCATAATTTTGTTTTATGTGGTGGTGGCAGCGCTGCGATGGCGAGAGAGACGGTCTCTTGGGGCCGGGGTGCGCGACCGGCCATCTGGACAGGGCTCGCCGGGCCCAGCAGCAGCGGTGGTGGCTCTCGGGAGGTCCCCGGGCTGCGCCGTGCCCGGTGGAAGCGCCATATGTGCAGTGCGCGGCTAGCACTGCCGACTGCTGAATGTGCTGTTCATGTCACTCGTACCGTCCCATGTTGTACAGCCGTTGTCGTGGTGTGTCGTGCCCAGCTGCGCTGTTCGTGAGGCCCCCTTCCGTACCCACTGTTTGGCACCGCAGCACTGAACATTAACTGTCCAACGTGGAAGAATTGTTGCCTCTACCCCAGGCTCCGGGCGGCGACCCAAGCCACTCATTGAAGTTGTTCCGTGACCTGAACACCGTCTCTACTATTCTCAGACATTGCCGCTCTGTCAACGTGAATCAGCTCGTAGAAAATGTCTGACATTAAGCTATTTGATGACTATGCACTGCAGACTGTCATCACAATTTGTTCTACACATTGCGTTCGTCATTTTGGACGGAATCATTTCTTCAACGACCATCGGCTTAATTTGTGTGTAAAATGATGTCACACTGCATATTCAGGCGACTTTGTAGTTAGTACGCATTTCAAATAAATCAGACAACTCTTGACTAGCAAATTTACGGCAGAGGAGTTATGACGCGGCTCTGTCCCGCTTAGATAACTCTCGGCTCTCTGTGCCGCCGTGAATCGCTCTGTCGCGCGGCCTGGCTCGCCTCCAGGCCTCCGTCATGGCGCATCGGCCCACGGAGCGAGGCTCGATTTGATACGAGCTCTCACCGGGACGGGATCAGCCGGTAGTTGGACCGAGCCAAGTGGGGGCGGCACTGGAGAACGATAAAAACGCACAGCGGCACCGCCGAATGGAGAGAAACCTTTTAGCCGTCGCGCTGAATGCCGTCAGAAATGGTAGCCCGGGGCGCTGTCAGGCAACTTTGAGCGCCCGTGGGAGTGCGGAAGAGCAACAAGCAGGCGTCTGGCAGATGACAGGGAAAGTGCCGCCAACGATAGTCGGCATAAAATTCCCGGCTCGTGTGGTAATAAAGTGACACCGGCCGCCGTAATCGGATATCATACGCACACCTCGTTCAATGCAAGAGCACTTCGCGAGAGAAAAGGCTGTCGTACAGAAGAGAGCCGTTCCCCCTTGCCAAACACCGGTAACAAGAAACGCAGGTGCAAGTCATATGCTGCGATAATGTATAAACTTCTCTGAAAGTTTCTGTGAGCTCTACGAGTCCCACAAAAACAGCAACAACACCAAACAAAACAACAACAACCGAGTTATCGTCGTAGGTGCCTCCAGTCCCACCAGTATAGTCTGCGATATAGTTTGCATCGGCGCTGTCTATTCTCCACATATGTTTTTCTCACCTGCTGTGCGTCGTTGTGGTAGAGTCTCGCCAGTGCCTCGATGACCCGTTCATCGGACAGCTCCTCGTACGGCTGCTGTCGGGCGTAGGTGAGCACCTCCCACAGGGTCACCGCGAACGACCACACGTCCGACTTGGTGGTGAATTTACCCTGCCGAGAGACGGGAGAGTGAGAAACACATTGCCAGAAGTAGGTGTTGGGAAGTACTAGTCACCGGCAGAGTCGGAATGAGGAGACTGGGGAGCTGCACACTGCACAGTGACTGGTTATACGGTCAATTACATTATCAGTCTTGATTTCATAATTTCTGAAGGAAAGTTATTTTACATAGAAACACAACTGCTCCCAATGTCAGGCCAGGCTATACTTTGGGACATGCACTTGCATACACCAGCTCGGGCGATCATCTTCACTACGTCATTGTCACGATGGCGAATGAGAAATGCTTCAGCAAATACTACTCGACCATACGAGCGGCGTCTGCATGCCTGGTATAATTCACGAAAATAATGACTGGATGATCGTCAACAAGAGTAATAGCTGTCGTTGGCAGCACAATGGTTGAAGACCATTGTTCTAGTAATTCCGTATTGATTAGTGGTCTAAGAGACAAATATGTAAACACAATTATGTTTCATTCAAGCAGGCTACCAATAACCCGCACGATTCCATGCCTCGGTGTCCGCATACCTCAGTCCAACGTATATTGACATTCTGTGTCTGCTGTCTCTGCGCAGTTGACTAATAGCGTGCTGCCGGGCGCTGATGGCAGTAGCAGCCCGGGAGACCGGCGCCGGACCATTACAATGCCCCAGTGACCGGTCAGCAGTACCGTACCGCCGGCAACTGACATACCGGCGCACTCCGGCCGCTACAGACGGCCTCCATTAGGTGATTTCGCCCTCACTAAGCACCGATTCGGCTCATCGACTGCCAGCAGGCGCCGCCGAAGTGGGCGGCCCGCTTCCCGTTGGCAGTCACGTCTCCATAATGGTAACCTACTGCCGGATAGGTCCCGCTCCAATAGAGTTGTTCGTTCTGGCCACGACTGCGCCGAGTATCGCCTCGCATGCGCCACGCGGCGAACACGGAGCGATATTCTTCCAAACTGCCGACCGGCCTGTCGAAGGCTGCCAAATGTGTGGTCGACTTATCTGCGTCGGCCGCAGTCTGGCGAGCCGACCAGCGTCTGTTCCGACGGCTATAAAATACCGGGAATGAGCCCCTCGGACGGCCCGCGGACCTAGTGGGGCTGGTAGCACCTCCGGCGCGCCACGCAGGCAATTTGCAATCGATAAAGTCGTTGACCCGTGCTCGGCGCGCGGAAAAAACAGCCCCGACGGCCATAGTGCGCCGTTATGGCCGATATCTATGGAGGAGCGGTTAGAGCGGCAGCTGGCTCGGATGACGTATGGGAATAATGACGTCACACGAGTCGTGTAATGGAACGGCCTGCACCAATGGCCTGCCATTTCCGGAAAAAGGGTGAGTGGGGAACCGGAAATGGTGGCGATATTTTGTCACTGGGCGCGGAAATGCAGAAACTTGGAGAGCATGTGTCGTGCAAACGAAGAGCTGGAGCTGGTGTCTTTCGCTTTGTTTGATGATGTCTTATGTAGGAAATACAAACAAACATTACTAGCTGCAAGTGCAACACATTATTGATGAGTTATGTAGGTCCCATCGTCTAACAATGAAACGCAGTGGTGGTGACACTCACCAAGAAGATGGACTCCCAGGCCATCCAGCGTATGGGCAGCATAGCCCGGCCCTCGATCTTGTAGTAGTCGTTGGCGTAGACACTCCTACTCATGCCGAAGTCGGAGATTTTGACCAGATGACCGCGGCCAACAAGGCAGTTCCTGCAGGAGAGACGGTGAGGTTAGGCTTCATTCGGAATATCATAGAATGTGCTATGCTCTGTCTGAATTACGGATAGAAGTTGACTGTAACTATAGGTTTAACAGCCATCTTTGAAAAGGTCATTCTCATTACCCGGGCTAAATATGCTCTACCCGCCATCGTGTATCTGCTGGGTGTCGATTTTTCCGTTCTGGGCACCCTATCAGCCGGTCGTCAGCGGTCCTTTGTACCCGCCCGACCGACCGCGGCTGTACCGGAGCGCTGAAGAGGCCATCGATGCGGCACCGTTCCCCGGCCCATTGTGCAGCTGCCAGCGCCGACACCCTCCCCTAGGCAGCGCCGTGAACACCCGCCTCTACCCCGGAGAAAGACGTGACCCTGGGGGAGGAGTGGGCTCCTCTCCTGGAGAGCTGGGCGCCTCTCTGGGTACCAGAAGAAGCCCGATGAGCGCCCTGTCAGACTGCCGTCTTCGGTCGACCATCGAACGATAGCAGGGACACCAGAGGTGTCGAGGCGGCCTTTGATGAAGCGATGTGCGCTCACCCCATGGCCTGGACGGTATTGAGTCCTGGACAGGGGCAGGGTAGAAAGATAAGAGGGCGGTTGATGGCTGGATAGATGGAGTGACGGGTCGGGCACGTTTTTACAGCTGGAGGATCGCAGAGATTGAGAGGCATAAGCCCGGTGTTACCGGGGAGGGCAGGACTGAACAGCGAGGACTCGGACGGCTGAGGATGGATGAGAGGGACGCATGTATGAGTGCTGGGAGGCAGGAGTTGACACAGCGATGACGGGAGCGTGTGTTGTGTGTGTGCATAGGGTCCGCCCCGGCCCGGTCTGCGCTCGCGCGCTTGTTTTGGTAGCCGGCGGCGGCCGCTTGTTTTGGACGTCACGGATGAAGACCGATGTCTGGCAGTGATATATACGAGCGGCCCGGCAGACTGCAGCCAATGGTGATTTAGATTCCAGTCAAGTGGTATTGATTCAGTGCCCGTTGCGTGCTGTTAGTGCAACGCTGGGCGGGTCCGTCAGAGCTCGAGGTCGAAAAGCGGTGACAAATTGATTCGAACAATACCTCCGGTCAATAGCAATAGCAAAAGGGTAGCGGTTGTGATAAATCTGTTCTGCGTAAGAGTCGGCATTCATCGTGGCAAATGGCACGACCTGCATGCACCAACACTCAACAATCCACAAATCCTCACCAAGCGTGAAATGTTGAGTGTTGACTATACGGCCGCCTCCGGCGCCGCGAGCCGGTGATATCTGGAGCTGCAGCTCCGCGGGGTGGCCCACCCTGCTGCGATAACGCTACATCCAGACCCACGCCGGAGCTTCCATAACACATATGCATTCCATTAGACCTTTTCCTCGTCCCAGAGATGATGATCGCTAGCAATTTCCTGGCGACAGCGCGAGCCACCCGGCGCTGGCTCGTCCGTAGCGAGCTCGCGGATATTTCAGGGGAATGGTAAAAATATCCCGGTGATACCGAAAGCAGGCACTGGATTTGGTGCTCTGAAGATGCCTCACACTCAGCATAGAACAGGTGGTATATACCAGTATAACGCCTTTAGGGCGACTAACGGAGCGAGCGAGAGGGTGGGCCTTGCACGTGCGAAATTGCGAGGGGGTACCTCCAACTGACTTGTGCACGGCACCCTACTAACTGGTCTCTAGCGATGTGCCAAATTTGGGCACAATCGGCCCAGCCGTTCTCGAGATCTGGAAGCGGCACCCTGCACGTGCGCACGTGCAAGATGGGTCCCAACTGACTTGTGCACGGCACCCTACTAACCGGTCCCTAACCGTGTACCAAATTTGAGCGCAATCGGTCCAGCCGTTCCCGAGATCTGGAAACGACCCCTGCACGTGCGCACGTGCAGCAGCACCCCAACTCTGGCACATGTATATGCAGTGCCTAGTGGGTGCCTACCTACATGCCAACTTTCAGCGCAATCGGCCAAGTAGTTACCGAGATATTGCAACAATTACAAAACTGACACCTCTTCGTTTTGCACGTGGCACGTGCATAAGGGGTCACCCACATGCATCGGGAATAGTCCAATACTTGGTAGAAGGAATGAAGCTACCCTACAAAAATTACCGCGTGTAAATCGGTCAAGTGGTTGCTGAGATATAAGCCTCGCAAAAGCGTGACCACGGCCGGCCGGCCGGCCGGCCGGCCGCTCATACTCAGAATTTTCCGTTAATCTAAGGAAAGACTACGCTCGCTTCGCTCGCTCCGTAAAGACTCCGCTCGCTTCGCTCGCTCCGTAATTACTTCCATTGTTATATGATTTTGGGACTTAATAAAAAGTCGAACGTTCCGCGCTTAAGACGTACATATATCGATGACTGGACCTTAAGGTGTAAATAATTTGTACACAGAAATAAGTCGTAAGTTATCAGCTCCATGGTAGCAATATATTTCATTCCACTAAATAGAACATGAAAAGTAACAAAGTAGGTTTCAGGAACTATATTGCAAAGCTGTATAAAGGTCAACTATAATTCCTTCATTTGACAACGTGCTTTTGTCATAAAATGGCTCGCTTAAAATACACTGTAAAAAAAATTCACTAGCTAATTTTGAAATTAGGCATTTTTTACGAGTGCCTCCCTTGCACCTCGTTACAACATATATGGATATTAGTAGTCAGAGCCATGCACGTTAACAATGCCCTTTGTGGAACAAATGCCTACGAGCGAGAGCATGTTCAGGAACCTAATTTTGCGCAGTGTTAATAAACTACGCACAGCCTCACAGTGTTACCCGCTGTTGGCTTGTTCTCGGCCAGTTTTTGGCGTGTCCCTCAATTAGGTCATTTTGCTATTAGCTCAGCTGACGAGGCCCCGGCTGGCACCTACTAAACGGATAACCTTGCGTGCAACCCCGCTTGTTGTCACGAACGCCTGCAGCTGGTAAACGTGCTGGTAAGCTTGCATGGTTAGCGGCTTCGGATGGCTATGAGGATGTGCCTCATAGCTATCCTCGTCGCATGTTACAACCTAGGAGTCTGTAGCTGCTTTCAGAAGGAGTCCCCCCCCCCCCGCATCCGGGAGCCGGCGTCCATTTTGTGTTGCGTCGCCATTACTGTGTGTGTCTGCCCAACTGCTCTTTGGCTTGATTGAAGGTGAGGCATCTTGTATCATTTGCTGTGTGCTCAACAAAAATGTTGTCCATTTGTAAACAAAAGTTATTATGTTGTTGAGCTCCTTAGAAGATGTATAGTATCGCATAATGTTGCCCGTCGTTGGCAGAAGTGCGCCGTTATCGTCTATCCAAGTCAGAATAGAATGTTTGGGACTTAAGCTAGCTTGTGGCAGGAATATCATCATCATCATCATCATCATCAGTTTATTGAGGTCTCCAGTAAATGGCTTTTCAGGCCTCTCGTCATACATAATACAAACGCAGTAAAATACACTATCGGTATGAACAACACAATGAAAATATAAATGTTAAAAACGTGAATACGGTTAAGATTGTTAAAAGTATTGACAGTCATGGTTCAGCTATGTCCGACGATGCACTTGGAGGCCATCTCTCGATTCCATGTGCACACACTTCTATGGGGGAAGCTGCGCCTGGCGCGCTCAGTGGAGATACGAGGGACTTCGAGCTGGCCTCCACATGCGCTCCGAGTGCGCCGGTCTGTTACGTCCGAGCGGCGCTGCACAATGTGAGCTAGAGCCGGCGGCACGTCAGATGAGATCAGCCTATCGATGAGGGCCACATCTCGCTTCGCCAACATGCCCTCGAAGCGCGCCCATCCCAGAGCTCGCAGAGCTGGGGTCACATGCTCCCGTCGGCCCAGTCCAGTGACGACACGTACAGCGAAGTTGATCGCTTTCTGAATGCCGTGCTTTTGGGAGGCAGTACAGCCTCCCCACACAGTACAGCAGTAAATAATGTGCGGGAAAAATATCACTTTCTTCAACTTTAATTTAATCATTTTCCAGATTGGTATGCCTTATGATAATAATAATGTTGATATTCGTTTTTTTTTCTCGCCTATTACAGACTTCTCTGGTAAAGAATGGGGCCATGTACATATGTCCTGGCCTACCTTCACCCCGCGACTGCCGCCGGTGCAGAGCTAATGAAAAATCACAAATGTTTGATGGTGGTTATTTAAGAAACCTGATTGCAAATTATTCAGTTAGTTGTTGTTGTTGTTGTTGTTGTTGTTGTTGTTGTTGTTGTTGTTGTTGTTGTTGTTGTTGTTAAAGTTATAGTTATTGTCCTGGCGTTGTTATTGTTCTCGTTCTCGTTCTCGTGCCCGAATAAATGTGCTGCAGCGCTACTCAGTCTGTTTACTTGCGGGTGGCGGTCGAGAGTCGGGGGCACTGGTTGACGGAATTCCGTCGACCCAGCGCCTCGACCCCGAAGGCCAGTAGTGGTACTAGTTAACTAGTGCCACTACTGGCCTTGAGCTAGTACCACTACTAGCCTTGGGGGCTAGTACAATTACTGGGTATGGATTAGTAGGCAGTGGCTAGTAACCTTACCAGGCAGGGGCTATTATGACACCTAGTAGACGCACTACCCACGCTATTTACGTGCGTGTTGTCAAACTAGGTGGAGCACGGTGGTCGTATGCATACGAGGCACAGCCTTGTCGAACAAGCTTGTTACTCGGCAACTAGCCTAAAATTAGCCAAATTTACACGCTCCTGCAATGTTATTTTTGCGCTGAGAATTCCTCTACGAGGGGCTTGTAAGTTTTTTTACAGTGTAGGCACTATCTTAAAGCACTGTAATATTATCTTTTAGTGACCAGCTGCATACATAGGGGTCTCTGAAAATAATCCTCAATGACGTTATAAATTCCATTACAGAGCACGACATGCAGGCTTATCAAGTGATCATGCATACAATCCAGGGATCACCATTCCATTATTTTTCTTGTTAGCCTCTCCAAAGCATCCGCTCCATTCATTTTAAATGAGCCATGTCGCTAAATCTGCAATGATGTCTACATTTACTCACAGCACATCCCATAATGTCATGCAAAGACATGAAACTAGCTTGTATGAGCCATTCATGAATAATCCCGGGGCGTAACCCGAGCCCCTGGGCGGCTTTGCGCCTGATCCGGATCTCCTGGGTGGTGACAGTACGGAGCTGCCGCCGAATTAGCCCCGGGGCACGTGTCGAGCTGCGTGGACGAGATCAGGACAGGGAGGAGGGACGCTGGGACACGGGCATATGGTGTCACTGGTCACGTCAGGGATCAGGGAACGGTGAGGTCGATCGAAACTTTAGAGCTACAAGGTGTGAAAATATAGCAGTGCCTCTTTAAGAAATTTATCAGGAGTGTTTTCATTACCATGATTTTGAGTTCCAATAGCACTGCAGCATGCCAGACAGTGGACTTGTTTGCCAGTGGTGCAGTATAATGGCGAGCGAGGTTATAAATGAATGTGTGCAATGATATGGATCATATAATTGTGTATAGAGTGTGGACAATGACACGATAGGGTCAGAGGGAAACTAGGTAAGAGGGCAATCGCTCAGCTCAATCCTGCCCCGGAGCAACCATCACTGCTGTTCCCGAGCAACAGGGATCAGCAGGGTCACCCAGTCGACGACAGCCGCAGGGTGGAAGCATCTGTCCAGAGCTGTTAGCAGCACGGCACAGCTCTGAAACGTTCAGTTTCATTGCCGTGATTGTATGGGATCACGCGTGTCAGCTTCGTGCGCTGTTGGGCAGCAATTCGCGTGGCGCATTAACGGTTCATTGGTCTTGTTTCGTGCACGCTATGAGCCGGGCTTCAGTTCAGTTTATTGATAGTTTGACATGTTGCACGCTCATCTATGAAACATTTAGGTGGTGCGTGGCCCGTAGACTTTTACAGCATTTTTACAATACTTATCCAATTAAGCGAGACGTCGAAATTTAAAAATATAAAACGGCGTGCACGACATGCAACGTGCAAGGCAAGTACCTGTCAGCCAACTGCCTTAGGAAATGATAACTAATGGCCGCGTTAAGTCATTAGCCTGTCAGGTGGGTGAGGTCAGAGCGACAGGTCATTACTTCAACTGGCCACCCGTCGTGGCAAGAACATTTTTCCTGACTACAATTGAAGGTAATGTTTTCATGGTCACGCACGCTGTAAATTAAAGGCGCTTGTTTGTTGCAAAAAGTTACGCTTGAATGACTGTGATCGAGTGATATGTAAACACTAAGCATGCTCATAATAGATAAAATAGATATAATAATAGGTTTCTTACTGAACATCGTGCAGGATTTGTTCTTTGCATCTATGCAAAGCTCCGTCTATCTGGAACTCCATGAGCCGCCGCCCGAGTCGGTCCCAGACCGCTGTCGTCATCCCGGGCCGTCTGACGTGCAATTAGACCGCCGACAGCGCGCCGTTTCAGATGAATGGCCCGGCCGCGGCCGACCACTCATTTGCCGCTCGGCCATTGATCGTCAATACCCCATCTGCATGCTCCCCCGCCGCTCCGACCTCCAACTCGAGCCGGCCGCCGACTTCGTCGAACTGGGCCGTCGAGGGCCGACGCGCCGACCGTCCGCGCGGCACCCGGCGACGCGCCGCGACCGACGGAGGGAGGGACGGTCTGAGTAAACTGTGTGGAGGCGCACCAGACCGTGGCAGGGGGATGAAAGGATCGACGGGCCAGGCGCCGGCGGGCACCAGAACTGATGCAGAGATTGGGACCGATTGGAGACGCGCCCGGCAGGCTATCTGCATCCCGCCGCGAGGAAGGGAATCGCAGCGTCACATGTCGAGCGGTGTCTGATCCAGGGCTGCGATTTGGCCCGCAGCGACACAAGCCATCGCGGGCGAATTAACAAACAAGCGACCGTGTGGATGCGAATGATAAAGGTTCCCGGGATTGGTCTTGACATCCAGCTTGCAAAATAACAGTGCCGTTGCAAGGCGTGCTCTAAAATTGGCCCGGGATCAAATGTCGCCGGAAGCTTTGGCATCAATATGACGTCTGTGCCAGCGAAGATCAAGGCACATCACGTTCTGTGTGTCTAAGTAGATCCCGGGTGTGGCTGGGTTTAGTTATCAGCTGCTGGACCTAAGTGGTGGCTTATGAAGATAAAATAAAAATAAACAAATACTCCACCACATCTGTGGTATGCAGAACAAAACAATTTTCCCGGACCGGAAGACACCATATTAACTGGTCTATGTTCGTCGTCGTTGTTTTTTTCCGTTGCAGAACTTCATAAACTTTCAGTATCTGTCCGGTAGGAATTCTCGGTCCATTTTCCGTGCGCTGTTTGCGGCATACCTGGCGCGCGCCGGTGGCCGGTTAGAGGGCGGCGGCACGCCCCAGCGCGGCGCCATTGATCCGCGAGCTGAGCGGCCCGAGCGACCGGACCGCGTGACGTGCGGACGGGGTGCGGGTGGAGTCCTCACGCAGCCTTTACCGACCCCGGAGCACGGGCACAAACGCACGGCCACACGCGGGCAGCGCCGACTGCCGGTACCTACTACATACGAGCTCACTCACGCACCGGGGGGAAATCTCGTGTGGCTACAAACATATACGAAAGGTGTATTGTAAAGAATATTGATAAGCTAATCGATGCCTTCAGAAATAAATGCTATGACTAGCTGCACACGGCGTGATCGACTCTAATGCTTCCCGGAATAAGAATGCTATGTGGTGGTTGTCCTGTCCTAAAGTTTTACTACAAAGAATAGTTTAGGTAGCACACGCAAGAAAATAGAAATGATCAAAAATATAATCACATCAAAACGCGTGAAAACCCAGCTCGTTAGTCAATAGCCTGCACAGAGAATACCAGCTCCAACTCGACCATCCGGCTTCCGGATTTAGACCGCAAAACGCAGCATTTTCTAGCGTGCAGCGCCCCGTCAGTTTGGAAACTATCGACTAGTCCGGCTAAGCCTGCGGCCCTGTTCGGCGTTCGCTGGAGCTGGTCGTCTCAGTTGGGCCGGGTACTCCATCAGAACTCTCACCTGGTGGCCAAGTCGCGGTGCACAAAGTTGAGGGACTCCAGATATTTCATGCCGGAGGAGATTTGAGTGGCCATATAAATCAAGCTTCCATAGCTGAAACAGACGACAAAAATATCATCAAAAACGCCACGGCCAGATTGAGTTTCGGGTCGTAAATCATGATAAACGGCTGTGGCGCAGAGGTGATGTATGCTGCTATTACCGGTGTTGCTCTGCGCCGGGCCGGGGCAGCGCGCGCGCGCGGCACACCAGAGCGATCGGCGCGGCTGAGGGGCGGCAACAGATGATGGGCGAAAATTAGACCCGCGCCGCCGACCAGAAAAAGAGGAAGAAACAGCGCGGGAATAACAGAAAATGGAGGAGGGGTAGAGGATGGATGGGAGGGGGAAGAATGAGAGAATGGAAGGAAGGAGGATGATAGCCACATACAAAAGTTACTGCTAAAAATGTTGAATTGTGGACACAAACGCGTTTTGGTTATGGGGACTGACGAACAGAAGATGAAAGAAACAGACTATGACATATGATGAGTATCAAAGCACGACCTGTCAGTCGCACAAGCACGGACATATACTTGACATAGGCGCCGACCAGTGGCACCACATTCCATTGCATCACTTCCTGCCATTTGGCCGGTGTCGATATGCACTGAGTCATGGTCAATCACGCCGCGCCGGCCACATTGCATCAGAGCTGTCACAAACACGGCCGGCATTAATCAGACCGCCGCTGCTCGCCTTCTCGCGGCACTGGAATGCCGTCTGACTCGTGCTAGCGGCGCCGCCCGCTCCGATCACACATAGCCGGGCGCGGGCAGTGTTTGCTTCTGTAATAGCGGGCCCGGCCGCGGTGCCGCCGACACACCGGCGCGCCCGGCACGGGCAGCCCTTCCGAACGGTCAATAGCACTCCTTTCCTCCACCCCTGGCACACACAGACCGACACACGCATGGGAAGACAATGGACGCCCATCAGCGTCCATCCCGGCCGGTAATATAACGCCCGGGGGCAGTCGGGAGGACCGCGGTCGGGTCGAGTGTCTGTCGGCGGCAGGAGCTCACTCACGGCCCCATTCGTGTCAACGTGACACGTGTCTGCTCCTGCACGACCGAGCTTTATGGCTAGTGGAGAGAAGTGTCTGCCAAATGTGTCCGCGTGTATCAATCGACTGATTTAGAGCTGCCCTGAACTGGAGCGGTAGGCGGCACAGAAATACTGCAGGGACACGAGAGTGCGGAGATATAAATGGGAGAAGTCAATGTGTATGCATTTATGCATACCAAAGGTCAAGGATGGTCGGTCGTGTGTTCTGTGTAGCTGTGAGTGCGATATTTTACTTGTCATGTAAAATGGTAGCAATAGCCACCAACAGCATATGCCTACCTACTAGCTCAACCAACATCTAGATTTAGAACTTTGATCACTGCGTACAGCAGTGTTACCCTCCCAGTGTACCTAGCAAACATTTTTTTCAGCACAACGAAAGCGGCTAAAAGCGTGTCTAAGCATCACCAGCTGCGCCAACCACTGCCGTTTGCTCAAACCCCATTACTCATATTCCTCAGTATGACTGAGAGCCTCCTACAGTTCCTTCTTCTTACCACCAGCCGTCCTCCTAGATGCCTCAAACGCGCGTCGTCTGATGGGTGCGTCCCGCCGACTGATGGGTGCGTCCCACCGACCGATGGCGCGTCCATAGACGGCCGGATCGGCGTCCGACGGCCAAAGTTGCGAAATATGGACCATCGAACGCCACGAGTCACACCCAACTTGGAGTGAGGCGCCCGCCTTGGGTCACCAGCATTAGCCCTTTGACCTCGCCGGGCCGCGCCAGTCGCTCGCCATGTGAATGAGGAGACCTCGTCTCTGGCGCGTAAAACTCTGTCGATGGATGTAGTTCCAGAATTTTTGAGTTGTAGGGCGGCTATAAGGCGAACTTGAGCGGAATTATTTGGTTTGATTCACTTAAAAAGGATTGAAACGATTTGTTCTTATTTCTGATGCAATAACAGAAAATGGAACTGGATAGAAGTTGACCTTAATCTTGTTAAAGCATTGAAGTGAGCTGGTGACCTTCAATTCCAGATGGAGCGCACCTAACAACCTATTAACATTTTCTGCCATTCCGGAGGTGTGCCCTTTCCAAGGTCCATAAACGCATCGTTTCACATTCCGTGCGGCCTTCACATCTCCGACATCCGGGGCCATGTCCTCCCACTCTGTCTGCCTTCTCCCCCTCCCCTCTGCCCACATTCTCCCCCGCGTTCTCACCTGAGAACCTTGCCAGATCCGTGCAGCGCCGTCTCTGCCACGTGCTGCTGCAGATACTGGTTCAGGTCGCCGTGTTCCATGTACTCGACGACCATCGCAAGCGGCTCATCTCGCGTGCACACGCCCAGCACGCGCACTATGTTGGCGTCCTGCAGCCGGGCCAGCGTACGCACCTCGCGCTCAAAGTCGGCCCTGTGGGGTGTCGGGGGGGGGGAGGGGAGGGGAGGGGTGTCATCGATCTGATGCTGCCGCCGCCGGTGTCGCCGCCGGTACCGGTCAGGTCAATACGCCGCCCGGCCCGGTGAGGCCAGGTGTGGCCCACGGACGGCAACGTGCACCTCCGCGGCGTCCGGGGCGCCGTGAAATGTCAAACGGACGGGCCACACACGATACTCGGTGAATTGAGGGAGATTAGGGAGATACGGGCGGAAAGGGCACAATTTGTTATGCACAGATGAGCGTACGCTCAGGTAAAGCACGTTCAGGTAAAGGAAGGAGAACGAATAAAAGGCAATGAATAACGAATGGAGAACAGAGAGTATTTGACCGTGAATGATCCGACAACAAATGACAGCATTCGAAAACACAAGCTCAATCAATGGATGTCACGTCATTTAGTTGTTTTTGGGCCTAAAACGAATTCCGAGCGGGCTATTCAGAATGAGTAATCGTTCGGAAAACAGCCAATATCCTGCCTCTAATTTCCCCCAAAAAACATCGGTTGTGTGAGAATAACAGCCATCTAGACGATCAAAAAACATGCATGAGTTAGCTTTGGATGCAGTCAACGCTATGGCAGGTAACTGATTGTCTCCCTTTTACAAACCGTGTCAATTATTTATGATATTTTCGTTTTCTACGTTCGCTATGTAATACTCTGGGCGGCAGCTGAGGAACACCTTTCGGCGACAGCCTTTGATGTCACGGACGGTGATCTCGAGACGTCCGCCCCTCACCTCCCCTCCCTGCCACACAGGGAGATGACTCGGGCCCCTCCCCCTGGGTGGTCCACCTCCCACCGCACACCGGCACACGTGCAGTTGCAGCGTGACCAAAGAACCGCACAGTGCGAGTCTGTGAGAAACAGCTGTCGCGAGAATCACATGTCAGCCGCGGCGCCCCGGAAAGGACGGCCTTGCAGAGGCGGTGAAAACGGAGGGTGAGTGCGAAGGGAACGTGGGTGGTGCTGGCCAGATATGTTGGGCTCGCGGGGAAAAAGCATGCCAGTAATAGGGACAAACATCGGCTGACGAGACAGTGACAACTGCGATCGTTTACAACGAACAGGTATTAAAAACAGCAATTACTATACCTCATCGTCCCCAAAGGCTTATCAAAATGCACAAACACAAATAACCCAAACCATTTAGACTTTTAGAGTTCTCCTATTGGCCTAAATGGACCCAATCACGCAATTTGCGTCGATATCGCTCAATATCGCGTGACATGTGTGTCAACTTCCATAGAGAGCCAATAACACACCCCGAAAGTCCCTACGGGTTTTGTGTCTTACGATATAGGTCGCCGGCAATTTTCCAAAGAACAGAGCAACACGCGACGGAAAAGTCCAGAACGTGCTGTATAATATAATTAAATATAGAGACAAAGCAACAGAGGGACACACAGACTGACAAACAAGCAGACAGGCAGACAGACAGACAGACAGACAGACAGACAGACAGACAGACAGACAGACAGACAGACAGACAGACAGACAGACAGACAGACAGACAGACAGACAGACAGACAGACAGACAGACAGAATCACACACAGACAGACAAACAGACAGACAGACAGACAGACAGACAGACAGACAGACAGACAGACAGACACACAGACAGACAGACAGACAGAATCACACACAGACAGACAAACAGACGTGGCTGGACGCTCTGACCCACCGTGCTGTGGGCGAGGTGCCCGCTCGCAGTGTCTTCACCGCCACCAGTCGGCCGCAGCCGGGGCCGATGACGTCCGGAACCAGGTCTCCTCCGGCGCCGACCTCAATGCGGCACAGCTGCACCTATGGCCATACAGTCACGTGATCAGTGAGTCCCGCTGCAAGACCGTCACGTGACCAGTGAGTTGCCGCCTTGTGTCGCCGTCATGTGACCTGAGCGCGTTGCTCAGCACCGGCCTTAGCGACTCAGCAGCTCGCAGCAAGCGACAAATCCGCGGATCTGCTCTTGGCTGCCGCTCTGCAGGAGAGCCGATGGAATACGGAGCACGCGGGGCACCGGTAAAAAGAAGAACAGTTTTTGTGCACCGCCGGCTGCGTGTCCTGATTATGGGGCATCGTGACGAATTTATCCAATTAGATCCCAACTGAGAAGAAAATATGCAAAAAGAACGATAATTTCACCATTAACCGATTCGTTTTGCATTGCTAAGGGTGGAAATAAATCACCAAACAAGTGGTGTATCCCCACATTTGTCTTTTCAGGCCTGTAATGGATTACATTGACAAATATGCCGCATAATTCATTCTAAAATACCGTCGGTAATTTGTACTCAATATTTCACTTTCCATTGTGACTCACAGCTAGCAATTCACTGCATTGCAGCTGGTGGCCGTCGCTGACAGACGTTCTATAAAGTTTATGTGACTCTGCAGTGAAGCCCAACACAAAGAAAGACGGCCAGCCGCCGTAACTCGTCCGTATCAAATTGTAAATTTATTCCGCGGTTGGATTTGAACGGATCACCTGCCGCGCTCGGGGAGCGGCGGCAGAGCTTTGCTTTCTGCGAGCGACCGAGCGGGTAGCTGGCGCCGCACAGCTCGAGCTACCGGGGGTAGCATCTCTCCCGGTCGGCTGAGTCAGCTCTGTGATCTCACCGGTCACCACCCGAGACGGATAGATAGTGACCAACCGACGGAGGGAGAGGGCAGGCCAGTAGGACGGTGCAGTTGGCACACATCAGCTGCATCGTCTGGCCAACCATGTCCAAAAGTCCCGTGCAGCATGGGCTTGCGGTGGAACATTTTAGAGGGACCCATAAGACACAGCGAGACTCCTCAGGGTTCATCGAAAACGTGAGGCTTTGCGGTGAATCCTGCGGTGGGCAGGCGTCCGGTTGAACAAATGACGCCCATTTGTCTCGGGATACGCGGTGTGTCAGGAGCTGTGGCCTCCCACGGAGAGAGATAGGGTGGTGGCGACGGACGAGCCACGCCGAACGGACGGACATACCTCGCCAAACTGGCCCTCGCCGAGCTTTTCACACAGCTTCAGCTGGTGGCGTGGAATCTGCGGCACCTCAACTTCGTCCATCGGGAAGTTCTCATCAGGATGGTAGTCCGAAGGCTGAAAAAACACACACGGAGAAAAAGGTGTTAGAAAACTGCTGAAGACAGCGAGAACATCTCCCCAGAAGTTATGTTATTTGGAGCGACGCCCCCGGAGGCGAATGCCGAACAGCCGAATGGAATTGTGATTTGGACACGCTTCACTGAGCTGTTGGTAAACAAGTCAGGCAATGTATACTAACAAAGAGCTGCGAAACATTGCAACAATTCCCTAAAGGAAAAGTTCGCTGCTTTCATCGGTACCTGTCGGAAGAATAAATATAAGACGTAGCAAGCTTTAATAAATGTACAATATTCAATTGTTCAACTTGGTCACGTTTTGCTAAGCAGCGCAGCATAAAACGAGACACCGAGGCAACTCAGCATATCGCACGAGTAAACCCACTTCGCAGTTAGATCCATGTCAACTGTCGTTTTATCCGTCTCCGGTCAGAAATACGCACCTTACAAATATCTGTCGCCGCGTAGTGCTGCTCCAGCACCGGACTTCCCGCCTGTCTCCTGAACGTGCTGACCGTCTTGGGGCTGTGTTTGAGGCGCGGACTGAGACTCAGTTTGGGGCTGGCCGGCGGCTTGTCGGCCAGCGCCAGAGTCGGTCTCTTGGAGGAGGAGAGCGGGCTGTTGGTGACGGGCGGCAGTGGCGGCGGCGGCGTCATCAGCGGCTCGGCGTAGTCCTGCGACTGGTAGTCTGTCGGGAGGAGGTGAGCGGTCAGTACTGATAGCGTCATATAGGACGGGAAGGGAAGGATGCAGAGGTCAGACAGCTGTCACTTGTCAGTACTGTTACAGCACATACCATTGAAGAATACGTAAACGGGAGCTGATTGTCGGACATTATCATCATTCATTTGTTATCACATATCTCACACCCGTGGTTCACACCAAATGTGACCAATATTTGTTCACTTTTCGCAAGCAAAAACATCTGCAGGAGCAAGCACAAACAAAAATGATTGCATAATGACTATATCTAGCGCCTGAGTGTCGCCCATTCATCCAACCATGTCTAAGCCCAGTGCGGTCGTCAGCGGTGCGATACATTTGAGCCGAATACGCGACACTCCATCATTAGCAACACAACATGCAACGTGATATACGGCGACCAGCCGCTTATTCACGCACGAAATGCAAACAGTGTCGCTCGCCCGGGCCATTTGAACGTTATTAATAGCCCGAGTTTCTCGGATGCGATCGGGTCACTGCTCTGGAGCCCGCGGGAACCCACAGCTGACGGAGTATTCCGAGAGCCGAACAGGAAATAGTTCAGAGCACACGCTGGTGTACTCGTGAATCGAATCGTTGGTGTAAAGGTTCTTTTATATCATCAAAGACTAAGGGGACGAGAAAGGCTGTTTTTTCGAGGAATATGCGGCAATCGTAAAATAATGATTTAACAAGAAGTCTTCGAGATTCACGATCAAACACAAGTCAAAAAAGGCCTGCAAACGTAGGACGCGTTCGTTTCACCCAATCAATGCCATTCCACTTTTACTCCAGCTGCTAGCCTGCAACAAAACAAAATTCGCACTCCCTACAGTTTGCCGCGTTTTCCGCCTGTCACCGACCCTCCCAGTCCGCTGCCGCAGTGACTGTCAGCCACAAATCGAACCCGCCGCACACTGCCCCCAGTCCCCGACGGGGGCGATCCATAGCGGCTGACTGCCCGTTTCGCGGTATACATCTCCTTGTCGGATGCTATTGTTTTCCTGAGTTGGCCGGCGGCACGGCGGCCCGCTGCGCCTCAATTTGGCCAATAGGGCCCCCGCCGTGTACGCCACCCGGCGCGCCGGACGTCTTTATCGATTTGGCGGGGTGAAGTTAATAAATTTATCCACGTGCCAGCGGTCTCGAAGAAAGGACGGTGCCACCCTTCGGGACTCTGTTGCCATGGAAACGATGATAATTGTGCAGGGTGGCAGGGGACGCCTTTATACATTTATGCATCGGTTAGAATTGGTGCCAATTCAAACGCAGATGGCTTGAAATGGGCATGAATGCGTGGATACCATCATATGAAATGCATAACTATGTGAAGAATGCGCTAGGGAGGATTGAAACTAAAAATGCTTGCACACTTAGCCCCAGCCCCCAATATCCTAGCAACCCTGCACAACCTGAGAATCATTTGAATTGCAACGTAAACATTAGGTGACACCTTTTTGGAGGGCTGACCGAATTCCTCTGTGACAAAGGTAAGAGCAAGAACATGATCTATATGAACAATTTTTGGAGGAATGTCAGTGATTTAGGTACGGAGCTACACGGCTCTGACCGATGTTACGCCGATGTCATCCCTTCGGAGTTCAGTGTCATCCACGACCAATGACACCACGTGGACCCGGCCTCCGGCGAACTCCCTGCCCTCCTCAGTGATGATCGACGGCTTGCCGTTCAATTTACGAGAAAGTGGAGCAACTTCTGCGATTAACGACCGGCCTTTTCAGAACACACTTTTCCGAGGTTCGACGGCAGCCGGCTTCCGCTTCTTTGACGTCATAAATCAGCTGTCGCGCGAAAAGCCAACACAGGGGCGTCCCGGTGCATTATCGTGAATCCTGAGCGCCGTATAATCTCAGCTGAGCGGTGGCAGAAACGGCAGCGAGTGTGGTGGCTCGTCACTGTCATTAATAACGTCACGACAGACATGAAAGGCGCAGGAAGGGATAAATGTTCGATTTGTGTAGGAAAAAGAAAAAAACGTGAATTAGGTTATTAGAATCAGCTGTAAACGATAGACAACTGCTGCGCGGTGCTGGGTCGCAGCGGGTCCCTAAACACACTGCGAGCTCTGTGTATAAGACGAATGACGGCCGTCACGGTACCGTTCAAAGGCACGCGCTCCTGGTGCAGTACAAGCGCAAATGACCATCCGTTCCTCAGATAGGCTGCAAAGCGGGCGGATAAATTTGCATTATGCGCCGTTATCTGGCGGCAGATAGCGTCATCAAGTGCGGGTGTCTGAGGGCCAGAGTGAACTGTCGTGCAGACGACTCTGAAATGCTGCAAGGCTCTGTTCATGAAGATGACATTTATGACCACGACCCAGAGTTACCTTAGCCAGTCCCAGTCAAGAAAAACGAATGTTTCATAAATAATCGTCGTACAACTTGTCCTGCAGGGTTTAAGCTTTTCCTTTACTGCACAGTGCACATGGGCTACGGCATACTGAGGTTGACAAAACGGCCAATATTGTCGGTCAAATGCGCGAAAAAGACAGTAGCTATATAACTGCATTTCTCAGTGCGCGACAGTAAGTTACACGAGGGCCAAATGTCATGTATAATATTCGCGGAAGGTCAGCAACTATATGTTGACAGCTTTGGCCAACAGTTGCTAGAGCAACTTGAATTTCCGTCACTCGCAAACTCTGTACAACTTGCACCACCGCGCGAGACATTTCAAGTCCCGGCAAACTGCACGGATTTCGACGCCTCCGCAGCACCAAACAGCTCTGGTCTCTTGACAGCTCTCACTGCTCTGACTGCCAATATTGGGTCAGTAGGCGCAAACACCCAAATCTGTCCAAAATCCCTCCTCCCTATCCACCCAGTCTCCACATAGGAGCTCATCAGCATGTACCGCTCATATAAATCAGTCTTATTGACTCCATACACCGCATTAAACAGCACATCCGCTCCGCCCCCAGCCGGCCCGCCCAAATTTAAACTGGCGCTTGGAGACGGATTGGGTGGGTCGCCTGCACCTGCGATGAGTTACACAGTGTAGGTCAGCTGATCGATGCTGCCCCGCCTGGTTGGACAGCTCGTGGGAGCACATGACGTATATATTGCTAACGTATGCCGGCTAAGTGGCTGAATTACAGCCTGTGAGTGCATAAAGAGGCGGCGCAGCGGAGGAAAATGACACTGAATACGCGCCATGGGTATTGCAAGACGTTTCTAAATTACCGTTTACCATAACGGCGCCAATTCAATGCGAGCACGACCAATAGTAGTGCAGCTATTGCCGAGGTGTCCATAGCGACGGCACGCCCCTCCCAAAAACGTCAGAATAATTTTCTGGTGCAGTCCTGCACCATTAACGTGCCGGTGAGCTATGAAATGATGCCACACAGACATACCGGCGGCATTGAGGTCCAGCCGCCTTCGCGTGTCCCCGCGCCATAGTTCCTCCCACAGCGGGCCTTCGTCGGGGTCCGGACCCGAGGAAGGCCCGAGGGGCGCGGGAGGGCACCACACCTCCTGGCCACTCATCACACAGACAAAGCGACCGAGCTGTTAGCGCCGCCGCATTCAAAAGGTGCGCTCATAAAGCGGCCCGTGTGTTATGCACTCCCCCGGCCAGGACGGTAACGCCCCGATAAATCGCTCCCAGATGCGGCCGGGACGCATACAAATTCACCTGACGCCCACGAGTGGCGGCGAGTATGTTTCTGTTCAACACCGCTGCAGAAAAGTGCAGCGATGAGCCCATAGCCTGTCTGCAATAAACCCGAATGCATAAAATGCATAGTTATGCAATTATAAATGCTCCTAGAGATCGTGCAGGAATGAGATCCACGCACCTCGCTGGTAGAATCTACGTGCCTGCCCTAACTAAGATGTGTGTGTAACAATGATGCTATAATTGCTATACCTATCCTGGGTGGGAATGAAATAGTTGCTACACTTAGAGCTACAATCGCATAGTGGATCACCGTACGATAGCGGCAGACTTCTCAAAGTCCCGATATTTAACTCACCTGCGTAATGTCCGGGGCTGAGTGGTTCTCCGTACTTCTCACAGATGGCGCTGTACGGGGTACGGTACCCCGACTCGGCGTACTGTTCACTCAGCGCGGTCTGAGGGAGACGGGGGCTCAGTGTCAGTGGGGGCTCACCGAATATGCGAGGTGACAAGGATACGAGAACCTAAGGAAGACGAGGAAATCATGGGAACTGACACTACAATGGAACGGATGCCCAAGGGGAGACAAGAAACAAAAATACCATCGAAAGAGTCATGATGAGACAGCCCAAGTCAGAAATGAATGGCCAGGAAGTGACAAGTTAGATCGCTTGAGTCAGAACTCGGATCAATAAAGTGATTCACAGTGGAAACAAGCCACAAAAACAGCCCGCTAAGCAGCTTGATAAACAGACGGATAAGCAACATACCGTGGTCGGATAAGCGGCCAAACTGACGGAGCAGCGCTGCACTAACCTTGACGAGGAGGAGGCGCGCGCGCAGCGTACAGTGTATCGGCCCGGACCGGTAACCGCTCTACGTGTCCGAAATGGTGAGTGGCTCGGGCAGATCAGGCCGGCCGGCGGTGTGCTCAGTAAACGCTGCACAATGTGCACTGTGCACCCATTCCGCCGGCGCGCGATACAGCGCTCTGTGCAGAGTGACCGGACAACGGTCGCCGATCGACTTGACACGGGGCTCTGAACTGAACAAAAGGCGGCGAGTTCGTCCTGGAGCGAGCGCCGCTTAGCTGGCGACAGGGTGCAGTTCGTCTTTCATTCACCTCCCCGCGGCCCGCCTGGTCAGCGCTGAGCGAGGTATTCAGCCAGCTCCCCCTCCCCCTCCTCCCTGTCGAGTGGAACCCGAATGGCATCAGTTTCTCTGATCCCTGTGCTGTCCAGGACTGGACCAGCTGAAAGGCTGCGAGGCAATGACCGACGACCATCCGCCACACCACATCGGGAAAGGGCTGAGATACGCATCTGCCGCTCATCGCAGTCTCGTGCCGGTTAGGTCAAAATCTCCGCTCACCGACGCCGTCCCCCTCCACAGCGGACCGGCCTGATTTATGTTCCGGGAGCGTCGGCGACTCTGGGACTGATCGGGAATCACCAAACAGTCGGCAGTGCTCGGCATTCCAAACGGGACACCGGCCGTAGAGCACTTCACGGATAGGCTTTTTAGGATCTGGCCCGGCCCATTTCCGGCAAGTCATATCCAGATCCGCCCATTATCCGCCTTTCTTTGAATATCAGAATCCGGCCCACCCATGGCCCGTATTGCAGCCAAACTTCCAAAAAATATCCGTAATAATCCGTTTCACCAATAACTGGTTTCACCCAAAACTGGACTAACAAATTCAATCTAAGGGACCAGACAGCCATACATCTCACAGACCATCATGGTTCCAAAAACCATGCTTATAAACCTAAAACCACATGAAAATCACCACATTGGTAAACTAGGTATCATCCTGCCGCTTAACACATTAGGTTAATTTTTAACTTCAATGTTGAATGTTAAAATTTGATCCGTTTTGATCCGGGTTCAACCTTCAATTCCCAAATCCGGCCCGCCCATATCCGTTCTTTTTTAACAAATTTAGAATCCAATCCTATCCGGTCCGCGGATTTATCCGTGGATAACGGATTTATCCGGCCCATGAAGTGCTCTAACCGGCCGCCCTGATCCGACCCACTCCCGGTGACCTGAGCCGGACTGGTTTGATGGCCAGCCGGCCGATTTTACAACCAGCTGCTATGGAGGATATCAGCCAGCAGGGTAAGTGAATCCGACTTTTGTTCAATCTAGAACTGTGCCGTGTCTGCATCCATCACATATCGAACTCTGATTATATTGGGCATATACACAGAACGGGTATAAGTAACTTGAGCGATGCTTGATCGTACCTTTCATTTTTATTAGATAGAAGTCGTTTCTAGCATTTCCTTCAGCCACTCCAAAGGTATCACACATTTAAGGTGACCTTTGACTTGGCTTGGCTTCCGTCACTACCTGTTTCAATGTCCTCACTGGTTTAGCTCGAGGGCGGCTTCCACTTGGCCTTGCCCTTCACCAAAACCTACAAGTCACATCCGGCGTCTGAAGTGGAGCAGATGACACTCGGTCCTGTGACCACCCACCTTCGCCCCTCCCCGCCCACTCAGAGGGAGGACCGGTCGTCACCAAAGCTATCTGTCTCGGCGGGCAGATCAGACGGACACCGAACAAGAGCGGCGTCTCACTAATGTCGGCTCTCATCAGCGTCCTCACGCCGACAAACGCGTCCAACAGGAACCTAGGACGACGGGGGTGGGGCGGCATCGCTTATCAGAGGGCACGGTCGCAGTCGGCGGTCTCGAGCGTTTGACGTCACCGGGACGCCGCAGTGACGATACCCATGAGCCGGAAGTGCCAAATATGTACCGGAATCAAACCGGAAGTTTGGTTAGGCAGAGCATTTCAACCTACATGCGACACTGGCGTTGGAGCTCAGCAGCGAGGTGGATCCTATCTTCAACAGGGCCCCACAGCATACTGAACAAAGGCTCGAAATGAGGCGTCACGTCTGATGAATTTCATCAAGCGACGCATAAATAGGCAATCTCCATGAGCTGTGGTCGCCTTACAAGCAGGCGCATTGTTCGCCGCCAAACAATGGATCCTGCAATGTGTCGTCTGGAACGACCCTGCTTCCGGGCATCATTCATACTGCGTCAGCGACGCGTCTCGTCTCGTCTCGTCTCGTCTCAGGGCTGTGATGACGTGTCCTGCGCACGTGGCGCAGTCAGGTCAGATGACAGCGTCGGGGTCGGATGACAGCGGCGATGGCTCAGCAGAAGCCTTGTTGCATGCTCAGCACAGTAGCAGCGGATGATGTTATGACTCGAGCGTGGGATGAGCCGCTCAGTGCACCGGGGGTCTCCGGTTCCCAGCCGGTCCGGCGGCCGCTCAGACTTGTCCGACTGAAGGGTGTCATGATGTCACTGACGGATGTGTAGGTGTTACTCATCCCTGAGATATGCGGAGATGTCGGGCCAGCTGAGGACATGCCCCAGTCGCCGGCGCGGCACCGTTCCCACCGGGGTCAGTGGGCTCCTAGTCAGTCTTGGCTGAGACATGTCGTTCGTTTCACGGTGGTCGGCAGACATGACGCGGTGCTCGGCTCGGTGAGCGCGTCACAATGCGGTCCTTCCGGTTATTCTTTCCACGGAGGCAGAACACAGGACCGTATGTACGAGTATGTACATGTGCAGCAGCCCACGCAGTGAAATGTCATCCCTTGTCGAGGCCGGCAATGTGTCCCTTTCGAGCAGAAATACATATGTTGCAGGACTGGGCTCCACCGGTCGACAGACGACCGCGCTTTGCTCCACGCAGCTCTGCTACTGCGTTTTTCATGAGCGATACCATATTTGCAGAGCGGAACAGGTTTTGCGGCCAGAGCGACCACCTACCAGTCATGTTAACAGTCAGTAAGTTGTGTTCTGGGTCCTCTGGAACCAGCAGAGACAACCCTCGAACCGGTGCTCAGCGCACCTGCGTCTTGTAATGGATTGTAGAAAGTGTCTGGGTTGAACGATGACCGCCTGCTGACTTTTGATGGCCAACAGACATGGTATCCAACATCCAGCACTTCTCTAATCATCATCGCCATGTACGGTACGGTGCGCGGTCGGTTCATAAGGTTTTGCACGGCAACTGCCAGAGTTCGCAAGCGTCTTGGTGCAGCTCTTGCACCGTAACTGTTAGGAATAGAAGCATCACAAATGTTGTCCCACCTTGCTTTCTCTGACTGGAAGCTAGCTTCAAAGATCATTTCATGTTGATAATCCTAACACGCACGAAAAAAAGATTCGTGAATGGTAAACAAGGACTTCGCCTTTTAACAACAAGCTTACCACCTCAGTCCTCTTTCCAACCGCTACACACGAAACCCCAACCTATCTCAACCACGCCAAGCACACCCGTCACCCACCTTTCCGCCGTCTGTGGGCAGCTGCTGGGTGTAGGCCGGCGCCAGCTGGCTGACGATCTGGGTGCCGGGCCTCTGACCGCGCACCCGGTGCACTATGTACAGGATCACCAACACCAGCACCAGGATGACGGTGGCCAGAGCGCCGATCAGACCGATGTGCTCGCCGGAGAGACCGCCGCCAGCGCCGGCCGACGCTGCTGCCGGAGAGGGGTGGGAGGTCACCGGAGAGCAGCGCTGATGGTGGGACGGTTTGCCAGTGGGGGCAAATTTAGGCTGATTAGTTAGGCATAATGTAGAAGACTGAAATGACATAAAATTGAATTTTTACATGACTTGGCGTCGTTGTTTTTTTTTTGTCTCACTAAAACATGATGCCAAAAGCGGAAGTTCTTCCACACCATGGCCTGGACCACTCCAGACGCTGCCTTCTGAACCACATCTTATGGCTTTCACCGAAACCTCGCGGCCCCATCCCGAAGGACGCCAACATGGCGTCGCTCATCAAGACACTAAGGACGCCATTAGTCAAACGGCGACGTTCGGCGGCGCCTATGTTGGGTTAGCTAATGCACGCCGACTGTGAGGAAACGTGGCAGGGCGAGGCGGCGACGGAAACCGTCCATCACTCGGCCGCCGTTCATATTGTGTGACAAAGTGTGATTGTCAGTGTTACAGGTGCGGTAAAGAATGGCTCAGTGCAGTGCATTGAGGAGCGATTAGCGCTGAGGTTCGTATGGTTCACCGCGAGCGGCACGCCATTTACTGCATCAGGTCCATAAATGCTCCGATCAATACGTGTAATGGCACATCAGTGTAGGCCACTAGGATTCAGCAAGCTGTATTCCTCGTGCAAGACGCATCGTCTTTGCAACTGTTATAAACGACTTGTAATTGCTTTGCTAATCGTAAAACGTTTCCAAAAGGGTCCGCTAATTATTCGCGCCTAGCACAACAGCCCTTAGGAGACTACTCCGGTTCCGCCAGCGCTTGGGGCAGCTTCCATAAAACACTCTTCCTCCCCACGGACGATTCTCATCAGCTCCCTAGCCCTCCCTACGGAGAGCACTACCGTTTTAAACCGTTTCAGTCTCTCCCTCCGCAGCTCTCGGCACCCTGCGCGGGCGGTCCGACGGGCCGCTCAGAGGAGTCGGTGAGAGGGACCAGGCATGGGTGGCCGGCATCAGGGCCTCCTCGGCTGCCCACCAGATTAAGGCACCGCCGGACAACAGACAGAGTTATTCGGCTCGTCCATCCTGCAGAAGTGTCGGCCAGCCGTCCGTTTATTCGCCCATAAAGTGAGGTAATTCGTGGGCGGTACGGGCTGCGGCGGGGGCGGCGGCGCGCGAGTGCAGACCCCAGGGATGTCTGGAGGTGTGTCGGCCGGCGGAGGTAGATGGACATGGCATTTGGTTGAGATTCTCGGCAACTAGCACCTGCTGATGAGCCATCGTCATGGCTGAGCTAGCTTTGTCTTTATAGGTGGGGGGTGGGGGGGGGGTGTGTCAGCCAGAGGTTTTGCAGCATTTCTGATGGATTTTGCAGAGACCTGACAACAGAGGTAAGGTAAGGCGTTTTCCAATACTCAGGGCATGGTTTTCGTGTTCCATATTACCATGCATATACTTTTACGTTGGGCCTTCAACGTGTCACCTATTAATATTTCCCATAATATAAGCGCGACACTAAGCCGGTACACAGCATTAAATTGATGGTCAGCCATTCAAAACAGGCTCATGGCAAGGCGTCTTTTGGAGCCCGTCCACCGTCAAGGGGCGGCCCTTTCACAGGACTGTCCTTGGTTCGCTTTGAACGGCATAGCCGGGTACAGCCCTCTGGGAAGCACGTGTTCCGAGCCGAGCACCGGAGCACACTGCCTCGGCAACGCCCGCCTAATCGACGCCACAACCGCATTCCAAATTAGCTGCGCGGGCGGAGTCGCCGAATGAAATCATTTGCACCATCATTCAATTAGCCCGCGGGCGCATAAGGTCCAGCCTTTTTCAGCAGGTGCACTGGAAGTCAAATGTCGTGAAACTGGTGCCCGTGTGTGCTCCAATACGAGACGCTATCTGATCCCAGTCGGCTACACAGCGAACGGGTAAGGCTATCTGCCGACTGCACAATCGTGCCCTGAACCTTGTCAGATCATTTCAAAGTAAAACAAGCGTAAAAGAGGCGGCTTTTCCGCATCGCGTTTGCAGAGCATCAAATGTAGTCTTAAATCGTGCATCAGTTATGCCAAAAATGGGGCGCGTGCGCATGCTAGACGTGCGCTCCGTTATTTTTATGCTACTGAGCGTCAGGTTCTTCCCAGTTAGATCAATTGTGAGACGGTAGGTGCCGTCATTTATAACGCACGGCTCGCTCGAGAAGATGACACTGCAGAACATATAACGAAAATATAAAATCGAGAAGAAGAGTGCAATATTTACATCTGAGCGCGTGAAGTGCATGACAGCAGTCATATTCAAGCTCCATAACACAATTTACTCCCACAGCTGAAACTCGTAGAAGTATGTTCTTGATTGGAGGTAACGCTCAACTCCTCGTTTCATTAGCCACATTTGGCCCACTGGCCTTTAGTGGGTTTGGGTCTCGTGGTAAGCGGGCCAGGAGTGGGCTCTGAGAGGGCGGTCACGTTACACCTGTGTTGTAACCCGGCCGAGAACTGTGGGAGCCGACTCAGCCAGGCGTCTCGCTCCATTCACCGGCCTCCAATTAGCCGCGCGCTGGCCGGTCCTTTGTCGATGCACGCGGCCCTCAATGGGCCCGACACCGCCGCCACTTAGGTACCACCGCCGTGTTGCAACAGCGTCGAGCCTGACCCGAAGAAAGGCTGGACGACAGTTGGCGGAGGCGGGAGCGGCGGCACGGCGAGGGGAGGGCGGGGTGGCGAGAGCCCGGTCAGTGGCTCGAGTGTTTGGTGCTTGGGAGCATTAGCCACCGACCTGATACGAGCTGAATGACTCGAGTGACTCGGCGTCGGACTCGAGTCATCCGGCGGACAAATGTTCGGCCGCTGGACGGCAACCGCTGACTGCACGCCGGTCGGTGACGCCGCTACAATGACCAAGATGAATGGCCCGCGAAATTAGCATCGACCCGCTGCAATGGCTTCCACCTAATGTTCCCGTTGATACGCTCTTTCGAAACGCTCTCCTCTGAAAATGTATGTATAATGATGATGTTTTCACTTTGATTTTTTTTTACCGGAAGATGCCAGTTTTAATTAATTCTTTTCAAACGAGCGAAACTTTGAAGCGAGTTTCCGTTCCCGAGAACACAGGGTTTCCAGAAAAGAGAAGAATGATTTAATGGCATGCCTCAATCGGCGTCGGTTTGAGTAAAAGGCGGATCAAAGGAAGCTGAAAAGCAATTCCATAAGCTGGACCAGACCGAGCCTTGAGAATGATTCAAGCATTAAAAAAAAAACGCCCCACAATGGAAATGTGAAGGAATTCTTGGAAAACTCGTAAAAATGGTGATTTATTGAAAACACCTAACGAAGCATGCAGAAGCGTTTCAGTGGAATGTTTGCCTCATCATGCAAACACAAAAATGTTGCCAAATAAGTGACTTCAAGTAGCGAGATGGACATAGTCAAGTTACATAACCCCGTTCTTCCACATTGCCAATCACAGGCAGAAGCACATCCCACCCAAACAACGCTAAGCAGAACGCTCGGCCTCCTCTTTCGGCACGTGAAGGGCAGTCAAGGTCAAAGGGTCACAGACAGCCTCTTTCTAGCAGCCTGATCACAGCAGGAGTCCGGCGCGGGCTCCTTCACCAGGCCACTCAGTCTTTCACCGGACTGAAAGGTGCACCCCGCCGCTCAGCTATTTCACGCCGCATCATCAATCAATTAATTCGGCGCGCCACAATTGAAATATCATGCCGATGACGCTGTGATGACGACGCTTGGCGGAGGCATCTGAATGACGCAGGGTGGGATTTTGGGACCCGTGGTCTTCGCAGAGCGGTACCTCACATCCTCTTACGCCACCTCCTTGGAGCGGTACTAATTGAAACGTCGCCGAGCTCTTGTGACTAATGAGACCGTGACGCGGGTCACTTGGTGTGACGCAGTTAATCACCGCTAACGAGTCAAATGTGGCGCACGGGGGATGTGCGCCAGCGGCAGCGGCGTGGTGTCGGCGACGTTCGTAGAAACGGCGAAGAAGACCTTCCAGTTGGCGAGGGTGAGGCTGCGGAGGGTGAACTGAATGGATAGGAACACGGACCGAGGGAGAGTACACCAATCATGACTGATAATTTCATATAACACCGAATTTCACTCGATAGCAATAACAATCGACCCTTTTACCAGCCATGAAAGCAATACCTTCATTCTCACAAAACACAAGCCGTCCGGCGTCAACATTTTCAACATATTATCTCATAAAATAAAAGGTCACTTTATGTTATTTCACAGTTTTATTTAATGTGGAGATGCTAAAATGACGTTCCGTTGAGCATCTCTGAGGGAGGCCATACTAAAAAGCAAAACCTTGCTCTCCCCCGGGGGCTCTACCCACTCGTTACAGCTCCACGAGGAGGATTGACGGCCAGCCGTTTTTGGCCGCAGACCTGCCGCGTGCCGGGCAAGGGAAAAGCGGCCCGGTGGCCCGATTAATTACCCATTATCGCTGGTCCACGCGCCGGTCCACTGACCGCAGTGTCCGACTATAATTGGCGGTGTCCCATGTGTTGGACATGCTCGGCGGCGGCGGGCTCTTCTGATAGCGCAGCCGAGGAACGGCCAGGATCGGGAGGGGAGGGAGGACGGGAGGTGGGCATTCGTATGCGAGTCTCGTCTCCGTGCGGCCACGGTGGGACGGAGGAGACGACCGGCCGACACGACCAGCCGACAGCAGCTGACCAGGGCACGTAGCGCCGTCCTTCTTCGGGGGAGGGGACAGCCGACAGTTCGGCATTTGGAGGTGAAAGGGAGCAGTAGGAGACGGCGGTGTGGGAGGAGAGGCATGGAGAGAGAGAGAGAGAGAGAGAGAGAGAGAGAGAGAGAGAGAGAGAGAGAGAGAGAGAGAGAGAGAGAGAGAGAGAGAGAGAGAGAGAGAGAGGAGAGAGAGAGAGAGAGAGAGAGAGAGAGAGAGAGAGAGAGAGAGAGAAAGAGAGAGAGAGAGAGACAGAGAGAGACAGAGAGAGAGAGAGAGAGAGAGAGAGAGAGAGGAGAGAGAGA